CTATACTCACTGACCTGTTTTAAACATCTATTAAAGCTCCAAATTAGATGACACAAGGATAATAGTTCCATCACAATTTTCAAAACAAAACATTGTACCTGGGTCTTTATCTGTTGGTGATAACAAGTATGTGGAATGTCATCTATAACCTCATCAATTTGGCTGCCTTTCATTATAGAAGCACACTTCACTGTAGCATATGTGCCTGTCTGGAATGGCCATAGTAAGGAGTAGATTATAAACATTTAAAGAAAGCATGAAAATAAAATGTTGGTCACCATAAAATGCGTCAAGCTTATAGGTTTTTTTTTAAACTGACCTTTACAGTCAAAAATCAAATTCTACCAAATGCATCCCTGTATGTATGATGATTAATACTTACAGACATGCCAGGTATGAAATGCTGTGATATTGAAATACTTACACTTACAGAGCATTCACTTCCTGCTTTGAAAGGGCAAAATTACTTCCGTTTGCTAAAGCAATGCACATTGGGATTGCCTTGTCATCAGCAGAGCATTGCTGGGAAATATCATCTGAAAAGGCATTTTCCTCCCGAGATGATGTGCATGGTCACATGTGACTAACATGTGCCAGAAATCCAGGAAGTAAAAGGAGTGCTAGTAATCTGCCCTTAGTGAACATGGCCACTGTCAGAAGACTGTGGAAGAAAAGATAAATAAGGTATGCAAAGAATACAAAGCATGCAATTATCTAGAAGTATGTGTTTGTAGAATGTCATTACTAAACATTTCTATAGGTGTGTGTGTTGCTATATTAAAAGATTAGGGTAAAGTTCCACTTTAAGTGATCTCTCCTTGTGGTCTGACCAATGGCCAGCTTCCAATATTCCTTATAGACCAATTCCAGGAACAGCTATTTTTTATAATCTTTAATAAGGACATTAAAACTAATGTTTTTCTTACTTCAGGAGCTCTCTGTAAGCTGAGAGCGGCTGAAAAGTACATTGGGAGCCACACCCAGCTCCCCGCTGCAATGGAACATAGTCTACGATAGACACCAGTTTCAATGGTGTGCCTTAGCTCCCTTCCTCTGCTGTACCATTTACAAAGCACATCACAATGATGATGTATTACATTTCTCTACCAGGTCTGATGGTGTTCAGACCTGGCCTCTGCAGGGACCATATCATATGATCCATGACTACTTTTTCTTTTCACTGGAGATAGTTCTTTATTATTTTTGCTTTGTGTGTGGGGGCATAGGCTGGGACTGATGAGACACCTTCTGGTCTTGGTGATGATAGATAAGAATCTGACTATAAAATCTAAGCAGTGAAAATGTCATCAATTGTGATCAAATCACCAACTCTGTTTGCAGAAAAGCAGCCTCAAATATTCAGGGAACCTTTGTCATGTGTTGTGGAAATTTTATTAGGATGTGTTTTAGTATATTGTAATATTGTCATCATGTCTCTCAGTGACCATAAGGAAGCATGCTGCTTTTGCACATGGTCTAATTCTGTGCACACTGCTTACAAACATACTCCCCTTTTCTATTGTATACATATGTTTCATTGGCTGGCTCTGTTTTGTTGATGTATGAGGAAGTGGTGGTTGTTGTGGCCAGCACTTCCTGTTTGTCATTCCTTTTGTGCCTATATATAAAACGAGGTCCCTTTGCTGGGAGGACATCCATGGTTGTTTCCCTTCTCTTTGCTGCTCTTCCTTTTAAATCCTCATGCTTGGGGAGAACTTCCCTTTTCAGCTCAGGGCCTCTTCCTGTAGTGCTGGCTCAGGTTTCAAGCCTATACAAACGTATACACAGACACCGTGTATCCATTCCAAGGCAGTCTGCTGCAAAACAGAAGTTCTGCAGAGCATGAGAACAGATACAGATTTAAAAGGAAGAGCAGCAAAGAGAAGGGAACAACCATGGATTACAGTAAGTCACACATTACACTATTGTTTTATGTTAAAAAAGCTGAGGGTTTAATGTCACTTTAACTGTTGCTTCTTGAAGTGAGCAGGAGCAGAACAGTTATATACACCCCATATCCCTTGTGTATGTGCCTCCTGGTCTAGGACACATTCGAGTACTCGCTCAGAGATGGCATAGTTGATGGTGTTTTAAGCAACTGATTCCAATGGTACTGCTTTTATGCATGAATACAGAGATGATTTGATGACAGCTGAGTGATACACAAATAAGGCACAGTATTGTTAATAGGTAATGTACTTGAATGTATTTTTAAGATTAAAGGAGAACTATGGGGTTATAGTTCTCCTTAGGGTAACGGGAGGACACAAACTAGCGTCCTCCCGTCACAATTGTCAGGATCCGCTTCAGCTGCGGCGTCTCAGTATACCATGAGCAGTAGCTCGCGGTATACTGAGACGCCGCAGTATACCGCGAGCTGCTGCTCATGGTATACTGAGACGCCGCAGCTGAAGCGGATCCTGACAATTATGTCTGGATCCGCCCAGCTCCGCATGTAGCTAAATGTTTCTATTGCTGAAACTTTAGAAAAAAAAACCCGGTATACATTAGGATTTCCTGATCGATACCAGCTGTCAGAGTGACAGAAAATACAGCTCTGCTCTCACTGTCAGACACCCGATTCCTGAAAGGGATCGGGTGTCTGAAAAAGCTTAACTCTTTAATTATTGGATGCCTCAATACTGATGCATCCATTAATGAAGTGTACGAGATCAGTCGTTTGGGCACTTAGTGGCAGGGACGTACAGTGTACGTCTCCAGTCACTAAGAAGTTAAAGTAGAAGGAAAGGCTAAAATAAAAAAAGGCTTGTTGTGGCTGTTGGAAGGGTACTCTCTCCTACTCATGAATGACACACACACACATACGCTTCCCACTGCTAACCTGTAGTCTATAACAGCTATGACTTGAATCTCTAATATGTTTTTTTTCCCTTTGCAGAATTCAATCCAATGGCTGGACGGGACACTCTTGAATGTGGGCGTTTTAAAACTGACAGCAATTTCATCAGCCAGCGATGGTTGTTTGCATACAAACGTTCGGGCGGCTATAGATCATAGACTGTATAGTCGATTATCTGGGCCTCCAAAATGTACAGGGTTGAAAATCTGGAACCAAGCAACTAAACAGCTGAATATGGTCTAGTAGAGTTACTAGATAAACCATAGAGCGAAAATACAGGGAATCAACTTCTCATCAATAGGAATAAATGGTGGATTAAAAAAGAAACAAGACACTGGTTTAATTTAATGATGTGATGCCTGTAAAATTGTGTTTTAACATGAACAATGATTTTGCATCAGTTAAAGTAGTATTAAACTTTTTTCAGTAATGAATATAGATCAAGCAAATATATATTACTCAGCTAAGCATTGTTTTGCATTATTGCTCAAACACAATCATCATGTTTCTCAACAGCTGCTTCCAAGTCTCTTAGCTGAACTTCCCTGAACTTCCTGTCCAGTACAAGATCACAAAAAAACAGTGCAGATTCTAGCAACTGTCCATCTACTAGCATGAAAAAGGGAGGAGAGGGGGCCAGGGAGGAGGGAAGTTGCTTGATTTGCTTTGTCTGTGTTTTTGTGGAGACAAACACAACTTACTAGCACACACAAGGGTGTGTGTGCTAGAAGAGCGCAACTACCTAAGCAATTACTTGGATACTGAGGATCCTGCTGTGGGTCGCTAATCAGTAGAATTAAATAAAGGTAAAAATGAAACTAAAAATTAAAGCTAAAAATAAGAATAAAATAAAAATAAAAATGATTGGTGTATAACTCACGGTTATGATGTCATAGATGGGTACATGCACTCCCTGCAGTCCCGTGCGGTCAGCAGTGTTACTCTGTGTGTTCCTGGGCAGGAAGATCTAGGTGATTATTGGTCTGCACAGTCCAAGATCTACACAGTCCCCGGGTGTCTCTAGGCTGCGTCCTCGGCTGGCCGGGCAGAGCCCCGGCTACTGGAGAAGGAGAGAGAGCGAGCTGTCAGACTGTTCTAAACGGCAGGTCAGGTTGGCAGCAGTGACGTCCGGGAGAGAACTGGGTGGTCGCGTCTGGTGTCTAGTGTCCTGGTGCAGAGGATCAGGTGTGGAAAGTGGAACAAACTCTATATCCAAAAACGGGGTGTTCACCGTGTATACGCGGACTCAGCTGGCCAGGCTGAGCCGCGGCGGGTGAAGGAGAGAGAAGTGCCGCGAACGGCTGAGTGCAGATTTGTGTCCTTTGCCTCAAACAGACAGGACCGAGTAGCAGGGAAGGTCGGGATGCCGTGAGATCAGCGGGAGCTGTAAGTGGAGTGGGAGCTCTCCCAGGGTCGTTCCTCTTTATCAAGCCTTGGAGCAAGCGCTCTGGGTACTGTGTAAATCTTGGACTGTGCAGACCATTAATCACCTAGATCTTCCTGCCCAGGAACACACAGAGTAACACTGCTGACCGCACGGGACTGCAGGGAGTGCATGTACCCATCTATGACATCATAACCGTGAGTTATAAACAAATCATTTTTATTTTATTTTATTTCATTCTTATTTTTAGCTTTAATTTTTAGTTTCATTTTTACCTTTATTTAATTCTACTGATTAGCGACCCACAGCAGGATCCTCAGTATCCAATTAATTGCTTAGGTAGTTGCGCTCTTCTATGTATTTCTTCTGAATCAACTTTTTTCACGGGGCTCCTCTCCCGGCTTTTGAAGAGTTTATGCACACCATCTTCCACAAAGCTAGTTAGTGAGAGATCTGACCATACTACAGTTGTGCGCTTTCTTGGATTTTTGTTCATACTTGAGAAAGGAGTCACTCTAAAACAGGAATTCAGGACCAGTGCTCAGGGGACCAGCTGATTCTGCAGGAAACTAAAAAAAAACTTTTAAATATCAAGGAGCAGCATCCATGGTAAGTGATTTCGTCAGCATTTGAAATAGCTTAAAACCCTTTTGCCTTTAATATCACTTTAACTGAATATCAAGATGAAGTCAAAATAAGATGATATTCCAAAAATTCCATTATCTAAAACATATAAGAAAGCTTTGGACCTCTTACCTAAGGGATTCTGCCATCCTCCTTAAGTCTTCATTTTGCTGTTTTAATCGTTCTAGTTTAGCCAGTATCTTAGACAGTTCTCTACTGGAATGGTCCGGACTATCATTATCTCGTACCAAATGTCCTCCAATGTAAAACAACAATGTGCCCCAGGCACAAAGAATGAGCATTATCCAACGCCAGGAGCCTGTCCATGACCGCATCTTCAGGTTCCACCCACAGTCTGTTGTCTCAGGAAAAAAGCATTGCAGTTACTGTAGTCTTCTTCTTCACTAATTACCACATACTTTAGAGGAAAGCCTTTACTCTTCAATATGTCTAAAGGAAATACAGAACATTGTATGTAAGTTTAAAAAACACAACAAAAACATTTAGCTATTTTGTTAGAGGAGAGTTCGAAAATAGACGAGGATTCTCAGTCTCAGTAGGGATTTGTGCACAACAGCTCATCCACGTTGCATGGGTACTTTTAATCTTTAGTATGGTGGGCCCACCAGTGGTCCATGCAATACAGTGGCAGCTCTGGAACCTATTATCTAAATCTTAATTACATATTCCTTCCTGTTTTTTTCCCCATTTTTGACTTCACCCACAGGTGCACACCGGTCAAAATCGCTTTCCCTCTGCGTTTGCGTCATCAAGGTTATCTACACTGTTACCCCAGTGAACAAAACAAAAACAAGTATACTTTTGTTCAACAGCATTTACCTTATTTATATCCCATAAGGTTGGTCCTTGATACATTTCTTTAAATTACCTGACTAAATTACCTGGAAAGCCAGCTTCCTGGCCAATCAGCATCGAGCCAGTTTCCCGGTCAATCAGGTCATTACTCGCCAGCCGGCTTCCTGATTGACCGGGAAGCAGGTTTCCCGGCCAATCACAATCAAGCAGGCCAAACAACATGGAGCCGGCTTCCGTGGCAATCAGGAACCTGGGCGGTTCCTGATTGCCAGGGAAGCCTGCTCCATGCCAGCGGAGCACCGGTATTAGTATTCAGTGTCGGCGCGATCCGAAAGTAAAAAATCAGTACTTGTAACCGAAAAAACGGTATTAGTGCATCCTTAGTTTTGATTAAAAAATTTTTTTGTATTGTGACAAGTAGATTGTCATGAAGGAAGGTCAAGTAGATTTGGCCCCTACTTTAGACCTTGGATAAGTAGGTTTTTTTTACATTTCCACACCCCTGTAGGTGAGAGTCCTCCTCAGCCCTCTCCTAGCGCAGCAGTGTCAGTTCTCCCACCACGCTGCCAGATGTCGCTGCAGCAGCCACGTCATCCCTAAATTTTACCGTTGGGGGTCACCGCGAGCTCTCGCCAGCTGTGGTGGCCAGGAGAAAATGACATGACACACTGCTCGCAAAGGCAGCGCACCACCGCTCCGCGCTGCTTTGCCTGCAGTGTGTCACGGCCTTAAGTGTAAAAAAAAGTTTAAAAAAAAAATAAGTCACTGAAAGAAAAATGTTTAAGTCCCCCACCCCCATATAAACGTAGATACGTGTCAGATAGCCGCGAACGTCAGCGTGAAAGCAATAATCCTAGGGCCACCAATCACTGATAATACTAAACTGATGAGCGGTAAAAGCTTTTTAAAGCGTTGCCTATGGCCAATTTTGGGTATTGTAGTTTTTTTGAGGTTACGCGCGCAAAATTTTAGGGCTTGACATGTTTATCCGACGTAAACCCTGCCTTTTATATTTTACAAAAAAATTGGGCAATAATAAATGTTTTCTAATTTAATACAGGGGAAACAGTTTTTTTTTTTAATCGGTAATTTTTACTTAATATAGTAAAAAATTTAAACCCCAGTGGTGATTAAATACCACCAAAAGAAAGCTCTATCTGTCCCCAAATTTTTTTTATAAAATGTATTTCAGTACTGCGTTGCATGACGGAATAAATGTCAGTCAAAGGACTGCAGCGCTGAACACTGAAAAATGGCCTAGCCAGGAAGGGGGTCTAAACACCTGGTCTTGAAGTGGTTAATGTGCCATAGCTTATTTCCAGTGTAAAGGTGGGGTTTTGGTCCAAAACCCCACCTTTACACCGGAAATAAGCTATTGAAGTGCAGATCGCACTTCAATAGCTTATAGCTGGGCTGCAGGAGCCCAGAACTGACAGCCCAGGGACCGGAAGTGATGCAATCTGCATCGCTCCCGGTCCCATTGAACGTGGAGGGGATCGATGAACGGAAGTCGGTCCCGTTGGAGGGGCAACGGAGCCCGGGAAGCACAGCGGGGGGTGGGGGGGGCGGCCCCTTCTTCGGGACACAGAAGCGATCTGGCGACAGGTAAGTCGCCAGAATCGATTCTGTTGTAAAGCTGACAGTCGGCTTTACAAGTTTAAACAGAGTCCCGGCGGCAATAGCTGTACGTCGTCAGTCACGAAGGGGTTAATGAGAAAACAATGCCATCCAAATGCAAGCACTTTCGGGCCTCGCAGGTTCCCCTTCATCAGGCTCACAATGACACCACAATATACCAACAACACCCTTTAAATAGGCATATTCAATTGTGAAAAGGAAAAGAACCTCCTACCCCTTCAAACATCCTATAATAAGATTCTACCACTAGACAGGGTAAAGAGTACCTGTCACCACCATCTGCTATCACATGGGGGGGGGCTTCTAAGCCCCCCCATGTGATAGCAGTCAAAGTAAAAAAAACAAACAGTTTTTTAAATAAAAATTAAATAAAATAAATCTAATAATAATAATAATAAAACAAATGTTTAAAGTCCCCCGCCACGTAAACACGCGTCGGGTGCGTCTACGTATGAAAACGACGAACGCGCTACACATGTTGGGTATCGCCACGCATGCCGGAGTGAGAGCAATAATTCTAGGGCCAGTATTTTGGGGTATCTCTAAATTGATGACCTGTGGGGGCTTTTAAAGCGTCTTCTATGGACTCTTTGGGGTGCTGCAGTTATTCGCCGTTTCACGGATGCACGCAATTTGTAAACTGGGCATGTTGGGTATCGTTTTACTCGTTGTAACCTCATCTTTTATATTCATTTAAAAAAATTGGTATTTTATTGTGTTCTGGGGCATTTAATTAAATTTGTCACTAAATTTTGGGGTTTAATAAGGAGTTGCGCTAATATTGCGCAACATAAAAATTTTCAACTACCACCATTTTATTCTATAGGGTCTTGGCATTCAGAAAATATATAATGTT